TCTACATAGCAATTAAGGGAGAAGCCCTTATTAGCTAACCAATCCGCACAGACGTTCCCTTCCCGATAAATATGTGAAATATCGAACTTCATGATGTTTAAAATAGTTTTAATTTTTATGATAAGATAGAAATTAATAGAATTCTCGGGCACAACATCAATGATAATTTGGACAAGAAGCATAGCATCAACTTCAATCCAAACAAAAGTAAAACCCAATTTAAGACATAACTTCAGGCTCAAGAATAAAGCATTAAGCTTAGCCGTAATTACTTCAGAATAAATCAAAGGAGCAGCAAAAGCAGCCAGGCAATCACCCATATAATCACGTATATATAATACCACATGCACCAGCTCTTATCATGCCAAGAGCACCATCAGAATTTAATTTGACATCTGGAGGTTTAGGTTTAATCCAATACACCACAGAATCAGCCATGTTAGGACTGAACAGGTTCAGATTGATACCATAAGCCACCGCCAGATTTCTACATTTATTAAAAGTCCTACCATATATGACATTAAAAATATAAAGCTGTTGAACCTTTCTTTTTTACATTGGCAATAATAAGGGTCGCATCCATCTTAACCTCTTCATGTTTAGCCTCATTTCTAGCTTTCTAAATATACCACAAAATAAGAATAGGCAACAAATTATGAATATGACCTTTAGTAGTATTTAACCAACTCTCTAACATAGAAATCAAGCTACTATGATTAATCGTAGAATTCTTATCAGCAATGCTATTGAAATATAATCACACCTTATTGGCAACAAAACCATTAATGAAGAGATGATCAATGCTCACCAAATTCGAACAACATAAACATTTAGAAGCTAAAATAAAACCTTTCTTTTGAAGAAGATCATCAACAGGCAGAAAACCTTTAAGACATTTCCACACAAAATTAGAATAAGAGATCAGAAAAGTACTATGCCAAATAGCAGCAAAAATAGGTGATTTGTCAACAGAAATTCTAAAATTCTCCCAAATGTTCCACAATTAAAATTTACCATTAGAAGAAGCAGGAAATAAGATTTGATCACTGTAATTCAGATTTAAAGGTATATTAACAATCTCATCCAGAATCAGCCATGTTAGGACTAAACAGGTCCAGATTGATACCACAAGCCACCGCCAGATTTCTACATTTATTAAAAGTCCTACCATATATGACATTAAAATTATAAAGCTGTTGAACCTTTCTTTTTACATTGGCAATAATAAGGGTCGCATCCATCTTAACCTCTTCATGTTTAGCCTCATTTCTAGCTTTCTAAATATACCACAAAATAAGAATATGCAACAAGTTATGAATATGTTAGCTTAAATATTCTTTATAAAGAGCATATTACATAGTTTGTGTTGAAAGAATCATGTGAAATGGGAGTTGTTCTTAGGGGTGTATTAGCCTACTCGTTTGGTCAGTAGGATTTTAGTTAGGTGATAGTAGTGAGAGGGATCGTATTTGGAAGTCATAAAGACTATGGTGAGAAGGAGACGATGTTCATAGTAAACCGCAGTCAGCGAGCGACAATGACAGAGTGGATCGTAGTCGGTGGGCAATCGTGGTCGAAGTGAATCATAGTCAGTGGATGGCATAGGTCGGAGTGAACCATAGTCGACGGGCAATGATGTTCAGGGGGGACTGTATTTGGCAGGTTTTAGATCAAGGCCGAAGGGACCATTGTAGTCGGATGACAATTGTAGAGTGGACCATAGTCAACGAAGAAACAGGATGTCAGAATGGACCGTAGTCGACGGGTGGTGGTGGTCGGAGTGGACTATAATTAGCGGGAGACAGTGATCAGAGGGTCCATAATCCATGGGCTTTAAATTTTAAAGGGACTATTATTGATGAGAGATGGAGGACCGAGTGGACTGTAATCGATGGGTAATGATAATCATAGTGGACCGTAGTTGGTGAAGCGACGGAGGTTGGAGTGGATCGTAGTCAGCGGGCAATGGTTGTCAAAGGGACTATAGTCAGCGGGCAACCGAGGTCAAAAGGATAGTTGTTAGGTGATGGAGGTCGAAAGAAGTTTGATGACGGTCAGCAGCCAAGTTGAAGTCCGATGGATCGATGGAGATAGGCAGCCAGGTGGTGCAAGCTTGATGAGAAAGCAAGGTAGGTCCTTTCAATTTTTTTTTTCTCCCTTCTTTCTTTTCCCTGTGTGAATAATGAGGGGTCTATTTATAATTTTTTTATTAGTGACATGACAAGAAAATAAGGAGAATATTAAGGGCATGTTAGGATTGTTTTAATGGCAGACGATATTAACTCCCTTGGTCGTAGATAATTTATTTTATTTGAGTATATTAATGATGTCAGAATTTTGTGATCTTGGGCTGTTGGATTTGACTCGTCAAGCCACTCGATTCAACTATAAGCATGCCACATTTGGACATCATTTAGTCATCCAATTAATATTTTGAAGCTTCTAAATTAGCTTTAGGCCCTTGATTTGAAGTCATTTAGGTTCAGATTGGATTGATTATGATGTTATTGGGTTTGTCTCTTCAAGACGTTCAGTTTGACTATAAATTTGTTGAAATCAAAGTTTGAATGGTCACTGATTTAATTTCAAAAGTTTCCAAATCATATTTGCATCAAGATATTAAGATAATTTTTTGATGACATATCAAAGATAAACTTCAATGATGCTAATTGCATTGAAAATATCTGTTATTATATAAAACTTTAATCTCAACCTAAATCGGATGATGTTGAAGTCTCTAAAGATATATTTTACATTGGAATATCATAATTATTTCATATAATGGAAAAATTGCTCAGGATATCCAAATACAAATTATATCAAAATGAGCCTAAAAATTATCTAATTTTATTTTAAAGTTATTACAATACAAATTATTAATATATAATATAATACTAATTTCAAAATAAATAGAATAATTTTTAGGCACATTATATATCCGAAATAGTGAAGGCGAACGAAGCAAACCCTAACACATAATACCATTACCATTTCATTTCCATTTAATGAAAGCAAAACTTACATGCCCAAGTAACCAACTATCAACTTAGACACTACCAAATCTCTCTCTCTCTCTCTCTCTCTCTCTCTCTCTCTCTCTCTCTCTCTCTCTCTCTCTCTCGAACCCGACCCGTTTCGGGTTTGGGTTGACCCGAACCCGGATTTTTCCGGGTCGGGTTCGGGTCGTGTCAAAAATTGACACCCCTATTGAGTTCTAGTGGATCTTGGTGTAGCCGGGATAACCTGTTTACCTTTTTTCTCCCTTTTTTACTACTCACATTAATAAACTCCCCCTCTCCTAAAGAATTAGAAGTGGAGCCTTTATCCTCACATTTTTCCGAATCTTCTTCCCCATTGAAAGACTGGTTGTTAATGATTCTATCCCCAATAGCAAAAGGAATAATTTCTCCTTCTTCACTATCACCAATATTAGAATTAACATTTATAGGAACAATAGCAATAGTTTTCGACAGTTTAGTATTCAAAGCAATATTTTCATGATTAAAAACATTATCTTGAAGCATAGATTCAATAGAAACATATAAATTCGGATTTAAAACATCCTCTTTTCTGCCAACATTACATTCCACCGCAGCTTTACCAATAGTATAATCAAAAGTAAAATTACCTTCCACCGCATTTTTACCAACATTTTTCTCATTTGGTATCTCAACATGAGTAACAGGTTTCGAATTTACCTGGTTAGATTCCAGAGCAAGAGCAATCTCCCCTACAGGATTGCCTTCCGACACCACGGTTCCCTGTTCCTTAACATTCAGCTCAGCATTAACCACATTAGAAACCAAATTTTTATTTCTTTTTAAATCAGGATGAAGTTTAAAGCAATCAACAGCCCCATGACCATGCATCTTACAATGGGTATAGAAATCCGCCACTTTTTCAAACTCCACCTTTTGCATGTAACCAAAATCCCTGTATCCAACCCAAATTTCTTTTGCAAATTTCTTTGAAATATCAACTTCCACAAGAACCCGAGCAACAGACGGCCTCGTCCTGGAAGCCGTCACTTGATCAGTTTGCAATGGTCTACTAAAAACAGAACCTAATACATGTAAAACTTGAGGATTGAAAAAATGTAAGCGTAAATTTGGGAAGGAAATCCAGACATGCACAATGGGAGATTCCTCATGAATATCAAAGAAAGGTGTCCATTTTAAAAATTTCATTTGGCAATTACAAATAAAATAGGAACGTCTAGAAAAAATGCGACTATAATCCATGTCGCTGGACAACTGAATGGCAACATGACGAGAATCCAGAAGACCGATGGAGTAAAACCCAGAAAGTTTGAGATTAGCGAAAAAAGAACGGATGTTATCAAGATTTAGTCTATGAAGATTAAACTTCCCCACTAAAGTAAATTTAAAAGGAGACGCCAGTTTAAGAATGTCCTCATCAGAGATGAGAACAGCAGGAGCACCATTAATCACAGACTGAGTAAATTTAGGCGCGTTCTCACCTTGCATAGGATCCCCCGATAAAACATCTTTAAAAGACCTAGTAGGAGATTTAGAAGGAGCATCACCTTCCAAGTTGAAGAAACCTTTGCTTTTACCATGGATCGGACTGGCTATCTTCCCCCACGGGTTAGAGGAAGCCATAACCACCAGAGTTTGCCCCGCAAAAAGGGGAAAAAGACAGCAGCGCCACCAGAATACCTACAAGAAGGAGCAACCAACAGGAAAGACGGAAAACAGCAAGGAGAAATGGCCGGGAGAGGAGAAATCTCGCAAAACCCTAAAATCGCCAGGAGGCTGCTAGGGAAAAAAACGAGAGGCTTAGGACCCCATATTTGAGTATATTAATGATATCAGAATTTTGTTATCTAGAGCTGTTGGATTTGACTCGTCAAGCCACTCGATTCAACTATAAGCATGCCACATTTGGACATCATTTAGTCATCCAATTAATATTTTGAAGCTTCTAAATTGGCTTTAGGCCCTTGATTTGAAGTCATTTGGGTTAAGATTAGACCGATTATGATATTGTTGGGTTTGTCTCTTCAAGACGTTCAGTTTGACTATAAATTTGCTGAAATCGAAGTTTGGATGGTCACTTATTTAATTTCAGAAGTTTCCAAATCATATTTGCAGCAAGATATTAAGATAATTTTTTGATGAGATATCAAAGATAAACTTCAATGCTGCTAATTGCATTGAAAATATTTGTTATTATATAAAACTTTAATCTCAACCTAAATCGGATGATGTTGAAGTCTCTCAAGATATATTTTACATTGGAATATCATAATATTATTATTTTCTATTTCATATAATGGCAAAATTGCTCAAAGATATCCAAATGCAAATTATATCAATTACTCATAATTAACGTTAATGACCATCATCATATAATTATTTTGTATTAATTACTCATAATTAATGTTAATTACCATCATCATATAATTATCTTTGTATTAATTACTCTTAATTAACGTTAATTACCATCATCTGCTTGCAGGAAAACTCGAAGTGTTCAGATTACTCGCAAAATCCTGCTTCAAATATTAGTCTGCTCCACTTTCGGGTACGTAAGTGACTTCCAATTCGCCGGAAAAGCACTTCCGGCATGAAAAGCACCTTATTTCCTGGTTCAGAGAAGATTGAATATTAAAGCTTTAATGGATGATAATAAAAATAAAATAATTATATAAGAGGTCATGAAATACGCATGTGAGAGGTCAGGAAATTCTTGCCTTTATTTCGGTTAATTTCAACAATTTTTTTTAAGGGATTTTTATTTGTAGAACGCACTTACGAAATCGGTAATTACAGTGAAGTTCAGTTGAGTTGCTAAACCTTTACCTCTTAATAAAAATTGAGTAGAAATGAGTTTCAATAAGCAACTTTCTTGATAAGAAATACTATAATTAATTTTATTTACCAATTTTCACAAATAAAAATCATATGATTGATGATACAAAATTAAATGCAGGGCTACGATAAATCAGTTATTATACTTCATCGGTCTCAAGTACACGACGCCAACGATCGCAAGTGCCCTCTCCAATATCCTTCCTGCCCTAACATTTATTATGGCCGTTCCTTTCAGGTACACACCCTCCAAATAAATAAAAAAACTTAATTACTTAATATTATTAAATACGTATTTTCACAAATATAAACAAATAATAAGTTAGTGCTAAATTTTTTTTAATTATATAAATAAATGAAACTTATACAAATGAATATATATTGAGTTGCATAAATTAATATAGGATTGAGACAGCAAATATGAAAAGAATCCCAGGACAAGCAAAGGTGGTTGGAACAATCTTTTGTGTTAGCGGATCAATGCTCATGACCTTCTACAATGGAGCTCTCATCCATATCCCACCTTCTAGCTTACATTGGCGATATGCAGAGAATGTTGTGGAGAAAAGCACCGAAGCTTCTGGATTCACAGGTGGATCGTCCAACAAGGAAATATTTGGTGCAATGTTAGTAGTGGGGAGCGGCATAGCGTGGGCGATTTGGTTCATTATGCAAGCAAAGCTGAGCAAATCATTTTCCGCACCTTATATGACCTCCACAATAATGAGTGCTATGGCTAGTATCGAATGCTTTCTTATTGGAGGTTTTATTGAGAGAGAATTACATAGTTGGGCTTTGGGCTTCAACATTCGCTTAGCTTCCGTTCTATACATTGTGAGTACTCTTTTATCCACATAAAACTTTAAATATGTTTTTAATGTTTTAATTTTGACTGAAATTTTAAATAAAAATTATGCTAATTCCATTCATTAAATATTTATTATATTTGATATAAAAAGAAGAAATAGTAGTTTTTTTATTTTATTTTTTGCATTGAATGTTTCTTCTAAAATCTTTCAAACGATTATTCTTCTAGCTTAAATATATATATATATTTTGGATTAGAATCAATTAAAGAGTACAATGATATAATAGTAATTACATAAGAAATATGTGATGTCCTGAGAAATGAAAAAAACCTAAGATGAAATATTAATGTTTGATTACTTTTTGAGAGCAGGGAATTATTTGCTCTGGATTTGGTGTGTTGCTGATGACATGGGCCATAGAGAAGCGTGGCCCGCTATTTGTTTCCATGTTCAGTCCACTCCAACTTATTATTGTGGCCGTATTGAGCTGGGCTATTCTGGATGAGAAGCTTTATGTAGGCAGGTAATTATTATAAATAAATAATAATTAATACAACAGCAGAGTATTATTTTATTTTTGTTATGTGAGGGATGAAAAATTGTATGTTGAACCCTATCAAATTCATATTTGTTATTAAACCTTTTGATTTTTTTTTTAAATCTTTTTTTATGATTTCAGTGTTTTAGGTTCAGTAATTATAGTTGTTGGCCTCTATATGGTTATTTGGGGAAAAGCTAGAGAGTTCAAGATGAAAGTTTCAGATGAGGGGGCAACCACTGAATCAGAGCTACATAAAGGAGAAGGCAATCAAGACATTGAAGGGGGGCTCCCTGTCTGTCCTCCTATTTCTAATGCAAATTGTGCAAAGAAGGCTTTTCAAATTCAAGAAGTTTGAGGGGCTATCTACAAATTAAAACTAAATAATGAATAATTGGGGGTTGTGATCTTGTTGGTCCACTATGAATTTACTTCTACATGGATGATACAAGACAAAACTGATGGTGTGGCGTCCATTCAGATTCAATTATGTTTTCTTCAATAGCTTGATAGGAAATAAAATTTGGATGTTATGTGCACTTCTGCTTGATTTTTTGGTTGGGAGCTTTGGTTGCTAACCAAAAGGTCTTAGACTTAAAATTTAATTATGTAATCTGCGTGTAAAGTTATCTAAATTGACTCAAAAATTTTATAAAAAAATTTAGATAATATTTATCTTCGAGGATTATATACTTATAGTATTATATATGGATGGGCTTATATTGAAAGGCTTTGGATAATAATTTATACGGTCTGATTAAATGATGTTTTTGTGTATTTTTTATAGTTTTTATGCAAAAAATTATGTCATGAGTGTTAAGTTTTACAGTTATTTTGATTTTTTATTATATTTTATTTCAAATTGTGAAAGAAGCATAAAAAACAGCATACTAGCTTTCTTATTTTCATAGAATTAATAATGCTTTTTATTACATATCAATAGTATATTAAAGCATCATACCTAAGCTATTGATTTGTCGTGGGACAAATATGAAACTTAGGACCTATTTAGCTAACGGAAGATTAGGTGAAAAAATATATATAAATTAATATTTTATTTATTTGTGTGTGACAAAAATAAAATTATAATTTTTTTTTATTTAGAATGATTGGATTGCTTAAATATATAAATATGAAGCCTAAATATTGTTTTTTATCCGTATTTATTATGATTTTTATGCAAGTAATTAAGCCATTAGTATTTAAGTTTCAGTTATTTTAATTTTTTAAAAAATAGTATAATATATTTGAAATTTTAAAATAAGCACAAAAGACAATATACTTGCTAATTTTTGTAGAATTAAAATTGTTTTTATTTCATATCAATAGCATATTATAGCATCATGCCTAAGTTATTGATTTGTAAAATTTTTGAGGAGAAGTTTAAATGCCAATGTTGGTTTTTATGATAGTCTATTGTTGCATGTCAGAATTTTTATGGTGGTAGAGAGAAAATATTTAACATCTTCACAATGTTTGAAAATTTTGGACACACAAGAATAAAAGATGGCCACAGTAAATACTAGAGGTTTACCTTAAAAAGTTGAAAAATAAAAAATAATGGATCATCACCCAATTGAAATAATTTTACTAGAATTTAACATTGATTAAAAATGATATATTTTTCATGATTGAGGAAGATTTTGATATAATATGATATATATAAACTTTATAAAGCATGGGAGTTATATGTGACTTATCACATGGGAGTAGTCTTTCAAGAGATTTTTTATTGTATGCGTTGACCTTTATTTTTGGTATACATCTTCCTTGGACTCTTCTCTAAGCTCGATAGGATGGTCCGTTGTTGATTGTGAATGTTGACGGCCTTGAGGGTTTCGATCTAGTTTGATTTGTCTCTTTTTTGCTTGGGTATGTGCAATAATAATTCGAGTCGCTTGTAGATACCGTGAGCTGGCATCGTACAATGTCATTTTTGATTTTCTTCCAAGAAACATATGGAGCATGAAACCTGCTCCATATGATATCATGTATCTTGTGATTAGGCTGCTTTGACGGTTAAAACTTGTAAAAAATATTTAGTTGAAATTAAATATTATTTCTCAAATATCTACGTACTATAAAATATGCATTACGTATGTGTAACCCTTGGGCTGAATTAGCATGCACCCATCAATGGTCAGTGCTATGGTAGACTACGTGGAAGGTTTAGCTGCAGTCTCAGGGGAAGGTCCAATTGTAAAGGGCTAAGTGGGTGGTGGGTAATAGAATGGTTAAAAATATAGTGGATCATAATAAGTAGAAGAGACTCCTTAAGAAGATGGTGGAGGGTAGTTCGGGTAAAAGGGAGCCATCTGTATAGGGTATGGTGATGGAAAGCGAGGTTATGGGGAGTAAAACTAAGGACTACTTGTAGAAGGTGTAGGCAAAGGGGGGCTAGGCTGGGTATGGGTGGTAGACTGTGAAGAGGAGGTCCCCTCAGTACCTCTACCCCTATTAGTTCATCCACCAATTTCTGCTTGTGCTTGAAAATGTTTGTGATCGCCTGGAGAGCTCATCACCACTAGAAGACAACTGCAAAAAATAAAAGAAAAAAATAGTATATTTTATGAAAAATGCAAGAAATAAGTACTAACGACTATGCTATAAAAAAAGTAACTACTGTGCTGTAAGGAAAAAAAAATAACTACTATGTTGTAAAAAAATGCATTCGTAAAAGAAGTATTGTAAGACAAAATAAACATTTACATCCTTACTATTAATCAATGGGTGGTTCACTTCCATCTAACGGGCAACATCCTCATTGCTAACATCATCTTTAATTTTTTTTAATATCTAAGTCAACCTCATCTAACAGCAACTCAGTCTAATTACTTGCTATAATTTGATCTTCTCCATAATTAGCAAGCTCTTTAAAGTTTAATATACACTCTTCTTGATGTGTTGTTAGTATTAATTTTGTATTTTCAATGACCCCCTAGGTTTAGTCTTAATAAATACAAGACAATCTTATACCTCGTAGTCTACCTTGATAGTTAACAAAGAATATATGGGTAGCCTGGCTTGCAATGACAAATTGGTCATGTTTTTCATATCTTCTATCTCGCTTTACTTCTGTAGTAGCATAAAGTGGATGCACCCTTATTCCTCTATTTTTTACTAGATGAAATCAATCACAATTAAAAAAGATATAAGTTATTCCCTTCATTAGGATATTCCAAATGCAGTACTTCCTGTAAGACCCTATAATAATCACAGTCATCACCCGTATATATAGTTGTTCCCTTTCAAATATAGCCACATATTTTTCTTTTTCAACCTTCACACCAAGCTTTGGTATGAAATTTATAATCATTGACAATAAAAATTGACCAATATTTTATTGCTCTTATATGTCCTCAAAATAAATTCATTAGTCCTTGATCTTGCAAATCTCTGGCTTCATTATGGACCTAATTGGTGCCGAAAGTGTAGATATATAATTATCATTTTCAATAAGTTAATTGATTATTATATATAAGATAAAGTTACTTGTCAAAATACATACCATATTATTGAACTAATTTTAAACTTCATATTCAACTCTCTTTTTCTTCTCTAATAGTGATGTAGTTTTCAGACCATTAACAAAATTTTGTAAAAGTTTGAATTTAGATTCTCTATGTTTGAGTTTGTAAAATGTATGAAATCTTAACTAAAACATACTCGACAGATGACTCAATTTCAACACAATTTAACAGTGTGTATAATGTGACAACTCTCATCTTCGTATATGTTGAATGGCATACAGTGCAAGCGCCTACTGGCTTGCCATGTTTGTTGATTACTGATATGTTAATGGTAGATTGACATATAGTTGAATAACCCAATATTCGAGATACATTATTCCTTATTGATTGTAATTCTGTGTTATAGTAGTATGAACAAAATTAAGTAGTCTCATATATAAAGTTTGCCTCACAAATTGATCCTTTGTGACATGTTTTGCTCTTTATAGTCTTTCTTAAGTTTATTTAAATACATGAATGATATATGATTATGAATTAATAAGGTGATAATAATATTAGATATGCTATATTAGCACAAAATTACCTCTCAAAAGGATACTTCCACTGATATTGAACAAGTCTACCAGCTCTAAACTCATATGGTAAATGCATGGGCAGGTGCTCCATAGAGTCAAATAAAACTAGGAGGAAATATCATCTCAAGCTTGCACATAATAAATGGAATGTTATGCTCGATGTGGACCAAAGCTTCTTTATTCAGTCTTAATGAGCATAAGTCTTGAACAAGATACTTAGTTCATTCAAGGGATCCAAAATTTAACCCATAAGAGAACTGAAACTCATGGGCATTAAACACTACATAAATATGTGAAAGTCATGACTTTTTAATCCATATATTCTCCTTGATCTCATGTCAATACAATTACTGAGGTTGAAAGCATATCCATCAGGTAGCTTTAGGCTCAGTACCCATTCACAAACTACTCGATACTATTCTAAAGTGAAGATGAATGATGATTTTGTCTTTAAAAATTTACTATTTTCATCTTCCTTCAACTCAAGCATTTTTCTCTAATAAGTATCCTTCAAGTCCATACTATCTTTTACATTATCTTTAAATTTTTCCTTGATGTCCATTACTGTATTTGACATATTATCAAAAATATTCTTCTCTATATGCATCATATCTAATTGTGAGTAACTCCATACTTGGTCAGTTTATAAATAGCTAATATTAGAGATTTCGTTGTCGTGGGTATGAAATTTACTCTTTCAAATATTTTTTCACTCTTAATCTTGGTGAGAATGTGTTATCTCTATTTTATTTTTAATGAAAGCATCCTTATTTCACATGAATTGTTGGTTTGTATGTAAGAATATACGGTGACAGTCAAACCAAATGTTCTTTCCCCCATGTTTCAAAGTAAATGATTTAATATTTTTCATACAATATGGTCAAACTAGCTTGCCTATAATACTCTTACTATAATGTATATCATATGCCGGGAAGTTACCAATTGTCTAAAGTAATGCTTCCCTTAATGTAAAATTTTGTTTAGTGGAAATATCACATGTAGTAACTATTTCATTTCACAATAATTTTAAGCCATTGATTAAATATGACAAGAACACATATATCTTTGCCATTGGACTATATGAGCCTAGAATTTTAAGTGTCAAGAACATGTATGGTGTATTCATACACAATTATGGAGGAAAATTGTAGGGGTGAGTATCATAGGTTATCATGAGTATGGTGAAGCAGATTGATAAAATAGAGTAAAATCATATGTACATAATTCTAATCTAATATTTCTTGGTTCTATGATGAACGTATGATGTATACGGTCAAAGTGTTTCAAGGCCTTTGCTTCTAACGGATGAGTTA